GTGTGCTGACATACCTCCATGACATGCAACAAGACTGTCAAGAATCTTCTCTCGTCTTCCTCTGTCCCTCCTTCCACATATCGTTTCAGTGGTCACAACATGTTCTATTTTCCCTCTTCTCATAACATGGCCGAAAAATGATGTCTCCTTCTGATGTCTATGATTATTTGTCTTCGGGCTCCCGCCTCTTTCAAAATCTCATGGTAGCTCTTTTTGGCTGTCCTAGGTATTTTAAGCATTCTTCTTGTAAAACCACATCTCTGAGGTCTCAAGAAATTGGTTGGCATACCTACCGATTGTCCAGGACTCACAGTCATATATTAAAACTGGATGTATTTAGCAAGCAAGAATTCTTTTTCTAACCCTCAGTGACAAAAATTTATTGCATAAGATGTTCTTAATTTTTAAAAAATTAAGTTTTTGCCTGTCCTTTTATGTTTCTTATCTAAGTAATGCATCTTCCATGTGATGTTATCCATGTGCACAGATACTTAAATTTCTGTACTTGTCACAAAATGATACCATTGACTTTTACTACACATTTAGGAATAATTATTTTCTTTGATACCACCATTACTTCTGTCTTCCAATTATTCAAACTAAGGGCCATTCTTCGACTTTCTACCACCACAATGTCTATTCTTTCCTGTAGTTCTTTCCGAATTGTTGCTTTCAAGACTGTCATCAGCATAACGAAAATTGTTTATATTATGCCCACCAACCACAATTCCAGGCATATCAATTAAAGATCTCATTATATATTAACTGTATATGAAAATAAATCAGGTGACAGTACACATTCTTGTCGTACACCGAGTGACAGATTTTAAAATTCGGGCACGTTTTCTGGAACGGACTATGATAATGATCGCCGCAACGTCCTTTGTTTGTTTATTGTGATCGATTTTGTAAAGCTAACATAAACTAATTGTTATTTCTTACCAACTTTTTCTCTTCCCTATAATTTTCTACTCCTTATAAAAACTATGATAATGATAGGACTTGCTCTATTGAAGGGTTACACTTTATATTACGCAATTTGTCTGTCTCTGCCTACCATCTTTCCCACTATGTGTAATTACGAAAAAAGTTTACTTAATCAGTTTAGTGGCAGATAATTTAATAATTAAATAAATGTGTTTAAAATATAACAAGATATTAATTTTATATTTTCAGCGAAAACTTTATTTCCGAATAACGAACCTGTGATATTTTCAGCCCGGAGAATTACCAAGATGGTGCTGGAAAGTACAATAATCTGGTGAGATTATTTATTTTTTGTGTTTTAGTATCTTGTTATTGAATTTATTTGCTCCATATTTTGTTAGAATGTCCAGACACACACATGTATTCTATATTTTAAACTATTTTCAGTGAAGTTTATTTGTTGTTGGAAAGGACATGGGGGTATTGATTCAAAATGCGATGACAAAGCAGGGTTGAACTCGAATTGTCGCATTTCAACTAAAACCTGATTCAGAATTTTTCAGCTCCGATTGAGTGACTACTTTTCGCTTCACGTTATACCTTTAGGTTAGATGAAGATAATTAACTTTTTTACGGACACTTGAAATATAGAATATTTACATCTTAACATGTACGTCTTGGAAAAACCAGCTAAAATAAAATAAAATTTTGTTGATTTATTAATGTGTAATAAAAATTTTATAATTAACCCTTTTAGCACGGGAAGTTTTTCAGAGGTCTAGCCAAAAACACGGAGCATTTTTTCAGTGAATTTGGTTATTACTTTATTTAATTTTTTTGACAGATTTCTGTTATTCTGACCCCTATGAAATAATATATCTATTTGAAGGATATAGATTGAAGTTCGTGATTTTCACAAAATATCGTTAAAATTAATTGATGTATATGCAAATTATCTCATTTGCATATCTAAAAATAAAAAATATGAATTTGAATTTTCAACTTCAATGCTTGAAACATAAAACTAAAAACAAAAATTTTTTTTATTTGAAATCTTTTTATTGATCTTTGGCCTTTTTACAAATGTTGTAAGCAATTCAATAGTCAAAAACAGGTATATATATGTGAAACAGCAATAATATCTTTAGGTGACATGTGTTTTTCACCATCAGTCAGCACTAGAAATGGATGTGCCGGAGTGTCAACACCTTCGGGTGGATATACCCTGAGCCATGGTTGGGCTGTGGTCTGAACACAACAGCGTCCCCGTCTGATTCCCACTATTACTACTAACACTAAATCCTGCATCAGTATCAACAGAATTAGTGTCATCACTTGATTCAAATGTTTTATCAACATCAGGTTTAGGGGCAGAAACATACGAGTCAGACATACTTTTAGCGGTTCAGGTCACTATCTAAAAAATTCAACAAAAATTTTCACTTCGATACCAAACACTCGAAAGTCGCCATGTGTAAAGCTGATACCGCAGTTAATATAAATGAATCACTTTCAGTGTTTCAAAGTAGGAGATTTCTTAGCGGTTCGAGGCGAAACACGATCGGGCCGATCATCGGCCGTTCCGTGTTTTTGGCTAGACATCCGCCGGCCGATAATCGGCCCGTCCGTGCTAAGAGGGTTAAAATCAAAAATGTAAATATGTGGTATTTAATTTTAATAATCATAATCTGTCTTTTTCTATAGTGTATCTATAATTAATAGAAACTTCGAATTTTTATCATTGTGATTTTCAAAACAGTTTCTGTTTATTTACAGTCACATTTAATTTGATTATTGGCTATCCTCCGAATAACGGACCCAAATTATCGAGTCCGAAAAAAAACCCTAACAGGGCCTTAGTCACATGTAAATTGCGGACTTCCAGCAACTACCGCCACCGCCGAGAGTATCTCCCGGGGCGGAGATTGGGTAAACTAGATGGCTGAGACTCAGAGCAAATAAAATGAAGGATGTTGCAATAGATGTGGTAGCTGCTGCTCGTGAGTCCCAGCCATCTAGTTTAGCCCCGCTCCACGCATAGCGGCACGGGAGATACTTTCGCGGAAGCGGTTGTCACCGGAAGTGCGCAATTTAAGTCGCAGGAAGTCCGCAACTTTTATGTGACTGAGGCCCTGTTAAGGTATATTTTCGGCCTCAATAATTAAGGGCTGTTATTTGGAGGATATCCTGATTATTTAATTATTAAAAAATTTGGCTCTCCTTGCAATAAACGTCGCTAGTTGGACGGCGACGGCCGCTTAGTCGGAGTTCAGTCCCCTGGCTGCAGTGCAATTACGGAGTGGAAAAGAGGGAACGACACAAATGACATAATTAGGGCTAGGGTTAGTGTTAGGGTTCGGCTAATGTGAGTCGCAGCGCGTGGTCTAGACGCCATGTTGAACTCACTGTGTTTTGTGATTCGTGCCTTGTCCACTCCGTAATTGCAGTCATAAAACACGTACCAGACAAAGGCGGCCAGCTAGACCCAGTCATAAAACACGTACCAGACAAAGGCGGCCGACTTGATGTTGACCACATCTCCTGCCGATTGATCTATAGAATATATGTCTAGCCCTATATACCCAGTGGAAAAGAGTCCTTTACTTTACATATATATGCTGTTAGTAGTGAAATAACTTGTGTATCCATTTAAAAAACGAGAGAGAGAGAACACTTTTTTGTGGATGACTTCCATAAATATCAGTTTTAAACAAATTTCATAACTGTCATGAATGTTATACTCAGTCATTTAATAAACATTGAAAGCCCTTTCCTGAAGATAAAAAGAAAGCATGTGCCTGTTGTTGTGAGGTTTTATTGATTTTGTTTCATGAAAACATGACATTGAATCCATATGAATAATACCTTCGTATTTAAATGATCTTCTCCTATAGCGTTGACAACAGCGACTACATGCGCAATGGGGACTTTGTTCCCACTCGCATGCAAGCCCAGCAAGATGCCGTCAACCTTGTTTGCATGTCCAAGACGAGATCAAACCCAGAAAATAATGTCGGCCTTTTGAAGATGGCCAAGTAAGTTAATGACACACTAGTTGCGATGTTATATATTTCTTTAAAATAACTTTTAGTTTCCTTCTTCTTCTTTGCGTTTGGTTTTGTATGCTCAGGTCAGAAGACCATCAGGTGGATTGCCTCTATGAACTCGCATGTCAGCTGCATGGTTCCCCACAGCCTGCTCTGCAAACTTTGCTCTTGAGGCCAGGTTTCTGGTCAAAGTTGTAGGTAGAGTCGGCAGGTCTGCAGAATGCGCCCATGCTGAGATTTACAGGTGGCTGTAATATACCCCAGATATAATATTTATTACAACATGCTTGTTGGGGGGGGGGGGGGTTTCTCCTCCTCACGCCTATGGTCCCACAACCCACATGGGAGTCATCATATGTGTGAATATCGATATTCATTAGCAGCCCTGATGCTTATGTCCACTGTCCATCAGGTGGTGCTACACTTGCAGATCTTTGATACTCATTGTATGTTTATTGCAAAATATAAGGCCATTTTGTGTGTGCGTGCGGGAGGAGGGATAGCTGATGATTGTGTGTCTGTTTCATGCTGTATCTCTATTTCTGATGACAGTTTTTTTATAATATGGGGGGGGGGGGGGGGGTTGCAGTGGTTAAGTGGTTAATGCAGCATTTTATTATGCCTGAAAACAAAATGCATCATGTTGTCCTTCATTTAATGTTGTTTTTGTCCAGTTAGATTCAGCTAGATCCCAGGTCTGGCAGTTAGCATTTGCAAATATCGCAGCCATGCTGTAAATGAATACAACAGATTTATGTGTTCACTGTATGGAACAGTGAAAGTCATGATGGGGCACTATAGAAGCCTGTCCCCTTCTCATCTGAAAGCCACCAGCAGAGACAACAAAAAGAAGAAGACACTTTAGCTTGTTATATTATGTTTATTAGAAACAAAACTGAACCATGAATTTGCTATCTTTTAGCGCTGAAGTCCTCGTAACCTTGACATCTGATGTGGGGCGCATTCTGGCTCGTCTACACCAGGTCCAGCCACAAGGCCAGATCAATTTTGTGACTGCAGTTCGAGTCGCTCATGTGAGTTTTTTAAATTGTTTAAAAATTAATTTTTAAAATTTTTATACACACATGTGACTTTATCACTGCTAAAATACTGGCATGAACAAATAATTTATTTGGTTTCTCAAGTCCTCTGAGCATACATGTGTTGATTTTATTATTGACAAAGTTAGAATATTGTTACATGTAGTTCTTAACTGAGGCAATCATTCACCCAGAATCATTCAGTTACCATAAATGGGGTCAAGTTTCTTAGGGCTTTGTTTTTCTTAAGAAATCAAGACAGCCAAAACTGTTATTTTATGTGTGTGTACACACACACACACACATATATATATATATATATATATATATATATATATATATATATATATATATATATATATATATATATATATATATATATAATATATTATATATTATTTACTGTACTGTGTTGCTCCTTGTCTACCTTTAGGTGTAGAGGGTTGCCAGAAAGATCACCAAACTTCTCTATCAGCAATATTTTTGTGTGGCTTTGTTCGATTCCTGTCAGTCTGGGACTATCGGATGTTGTCATCCCTGTTAACCCTGGGTCGCCTTGGAGGTCTGATTTCCTGGTTCACGGGTCTCCCATGGTGGCCAGTTCTCTCCATTTCTGCATACATGGCCAAACCATCATAACTGACCGAATCACTAGATATAAACACACATGGTGCAGATTTAGAGTAAACCCAAATTAGCTCACAAGTGTATCTATACATAAGTCTTCATGTACATTTTTGCATATTTCACCATGTTGTCAGGGCACTACTACAGAACGACATTAAGATTTAATAAAGCACAAAACCTTATTTCTCTCCACTGAAAGACAGAAATTTCATGGTCTCTCTCGATTCATTGTTCGTCTGATCGCTAGAAGATCAAGACAGTCACAGTAGTTTACCAATGCTAAATTTAAATTTGCGCTGAATTTCTATTATTTAAATTCTTACTGGCAAAATAATATAACATGTTTTGCTTTTCTCGACAGCTGGCACTGAAACACAGGCAGGGTCGCAATCATAAACTTCGTATTGTTGTATTTGTGGGCAGTCCAATTGAAATAGATGAGAAAGAGGTAATGAGACTAAAACTGACAAGTGTAATATGTTTTTTTTTTACATGATTATGTATGATTTTTAACTGAAAATGTCATTTCTAGACTAGTACATTATAACTTTTAATTTTAATACTACCAAGCAACACACACACACACCACACACACACAATGCAGAGCTACTGAAAAGAAAGTTATTTGGCACAATTTGGACATTTAGAATCTTTGTAATTTAATTTGTGAAATTGTTTAGATGTCACAGGTGAATGACCTTAAATTCCACCAATCAGTTGACAACTCTTGCATCCCAGTCACCGATAGTTTTTAGGCGTACAGGCTTTCCTGTCAACTAATTAAAAACATGGCATCAGATAACTGCATTTTTGTGTGTGCTTTTTTAAAAGTAGTATATATAATTGTGCTGTTGTAAATAATATTTATAAACATCCGATTACATCATAAAAATAGAAATATCTTCTTCTTCACAATCACTGGCTGTTAACTCTGGCAGAAAGTTTTTGGTTGTTCATCCACCTCTGAACTTTTTACATGTTCCAGAACCTGAGTGTTGCGCGCACATTCATTTTGCAGATGTGACTTTCTTGTATGTAGACTGTTGGTTCCTTGCCTCTCAGGCAGATGCACTCTGACTTCAGAGCAGGCGCCCCCCCCCCCCCCCCCCCCATATCAGTTGACTCTTACGACATGCTTGTCCGGGAAGCATTGAATCTTTTCTTTTCCTCACAATGGGGCCCTGGAACCCACATGGAGAACTAGAAATAAATAATGGGAGAACATATTGATGTAAAGGCCTCACTATTGCTGTGAAAGTTTGTAGAAGATTTTCTTGATTCACGCATTTATCAGTATATTGTTAATCACAGTCTAATCGTAGTCTTTTTTTTTTTTGTTTCAGATTATTAAAGTTGCCAAGAGGCTTAAGAAGGAAAAGGTTAACGTAGATGTTGTCAACTTTGGAGAAGAGGTAACATGCATTAACTCGCTCGTTGTTTATTTGTGATGTTTTTAGTTATTGAAAGCTTAATAAATTTCAATTAATTAGATACTGTATTATAAAATATATTGTAGTTTATTTCTGTGTACATAATTTAAGCAAGCATTGTGTCTATCACTACAGATAGTTTATAATATTTTTAATACATTGTTTTTTTGTGATGATGCTATAGTAGGTAATATGTTAAAGTACGTAAGGAGTTAATTTATGCATGTTGTTGACTTGAAGAAAAAAAATGCGTATTATAGATAATAAAATTCCTGCTTGTTGTGATTTCACATCTCTCACTTGCTTCAACCTGGGTTGGAGAACAGAAATTTGTAGTTAGTTTTAATATTTAGTGATAAAATATATTGAGCGTTTGTTTTTGTTTTTGTGTGTCTTTTCAAATTAACTGTATTGTGTAGAGATGGTTGGAACAGAATGCCACTATATATTATGATGTGTGAGGGGAGGGGGGGGAAGCAGGAAGGGAAGATAAAGGAATAAATGATTGAAGAATCAGGTTAAATACATGCAACAGTAACAATAGTCTTAAAATCCCAAGTTCTTCTTTTGTGTGAGTTTTCTTAATGCCAATGAGTTTCACTCGTCACGCTTGCCATCGCCATGGGCTGTGAGTTTATCATGCCTCCCTGTTCCACAGTATAACTGCATCATCTGGGAAGGTGCCAACAAAGAGTGAGAGACTTTTCTCTTGACGCGATGTTAAAGTACCATCTCCTCAAGGTGTTGTAAAACTCTCCTTTCCATCTCCAAGACCAGAAACCAGTAGATGTGCAGAGAGTGCTAATAAGAATGCTTGCTAGGTCGTGATTCAGTGTCACATCTTTCGCATGTTGGCACCTTTCAGTCTTACATGATAATAGTGTTTTATTGTGGTATGCACTAGGCATGAGAATCACACTCCAGGGTGATGGCGATTTGTTTCAGTATTTTTTTTTCTCCCCTCCTCTCTATGCACAAAAGTTGACTAGTATTGTAAAGACAATGTGTTGCCCATTCATGATCCCTCTCTTAGCCTGCCTTGTTTACTCTGAAGGAAAGGTAACACTGATACATGTGGAACAAAACAAGCTGCTGAAGCTGCTCTGTGTGCCAAGGAGCTTCCCTCCTAGACCAACTGCCAGCTAGACTAATGGCCTGGTTTTTTCCCTCCAGAACATTAAGTTTTCAGGTTGCATATTCCTCATCACAGAATATTGTTAATATCTTCCCCAAGGGATTTTTCCACGTGAAGCCATTGGCACAGTGTTGGATTTCAGATATGGTATATGCCACTCATCCCTCAAACTGGTTGGTTTTAGGCCTTGGTTGGTAATGTTTTTTTCGCAGAATTTATGTATTCTATTGTCAGCAGACTGTCCGCTCCCGCGAAGGATTTTTTTTTTTTTTTTTTTTTTGCATACATAACCTGAAAGACTTATTTATTTCAGGCCATTAACACAGATAAGCTGACTGCTTTTGTGAATGCCATTAATGGAAAAGATGGAACAAGGTAATTAATTCTATCACCTATATAAATTGGCCTGTAGGTGATACAAAAATGAATCATTTTTTGTTTTGTTTATTGTAAGGTTTGCACGCTTGTAAAATTTTAGTGTTTGTGAGATAGGGTGGGATAGAAAAAAAAAGAGATAGAATTATATTAGAATGGGAAACCTTTCAGCTGTTTGACCAGGAGATCTGGCTAATAGTGCACTGAGGAGGAAAGACAAGACGGAACATGTAATCCAACTGTTACTGGTAGCTTTTGTATTGGAATGCTTTGCTGGCTGCTGAAGATGACGGGGCACTCATGGGAATGACTCAGTTCTGTGATGTCAACTCTCATTTGAACACTGATAGGAGAAAAACTAACTTTTTTTTGTATTTATGGCACATTGCCAGCTGAGACCATGAATTAATGTCACAGTGTCTGTATATTTGCCACAGGCAATCGTCTCTTCCCCTGGATCACAGTGCATTATTTTATGGATGGGGTCTATCATTGATATTCCTTTGTTTCCTTGGCATATACCTTCATTTGCCATTTGTCTCAGTGCCCCCCCCCCCCCCCCCCAACCTTTCCCTATCTGCCACTGATTTGTCCAGTGGTCATTACCAGTGAAATTGTCACATTCTTATATTTATGTTTGTTTTTTAGTTTTCTTTGTCATGATATTTATGATTATCATCATATGCCTTTATGATTATCATCATATGCCTTGCGGACTGACCAGGGTGATCATGCCTCTCCACATCTTACAGTCTTCAGCAGCATGTATCTCTTTGTGTGCTGACACTTGTGTATGCCTTGGCAAAAGTCTGTCAAGAATCTTCTCCTGTTATCTGCCACCCATCTCTCTTTCCATAAATACGACCTGTTTCTGCAACCTGCTGTATTTCTTTTTCCCTCTTTCCACAGTGTGTGTGGCCTGGATATTCTTCTATTCTTCTTCTTTGATCATCCTTTAAAGGGCTGTTGGCACACTGTCATGGTTTACAGCTAGACTGCTTTTCGTGTGTGTACCTTTTGACCCTGAACGTCCAGTTTCAGCAAATCCTGAGTTATAATGCCTTTCAAAACTCATACCACACACTTTAACAGATATCTCCAAATCTCCTGTATGGATCACCAAAAATGTATGCCTGTGGCCTTAGATTTCCCATGGCCTTATGATTCTTTAATTTACAGTTGCACAAGTGCTGCTGTTTTCTTAAAGCAGAGAATTTCTTTGAATCGTTGTTTGACCAATAATTTCTGTCCCCCTGAAAAATAGAATATGCAGAAATTGACCCACGTGTAAGGGATTGGAAATCAAATGGTTTGACAGCCTATTCCCCACTCAGTGAAAAATCTGCAACTCGTGGGAGACTTATGTTGGAGAGAAACACCAATGACATGTGTGCAGTTTGATAATTTGAAAAGTTCTCTTTACTCAGGTTACTGTAAGCATGCTGATTGTTTGCTTTGGATGATTCTGTTTTTCATGTAGCACAAATAAGGCAAAATGAAAACTAGATATTTTTTTTTTTTTACATTTAAAAAAAAACATACAAGGGTATATTATTAATACACTGAGAGCCAGATTTCAACAACTTACATTGGACGGATTACCGAGTTACAGATTTTTTTTTAAAAAGTGTGGCACAAATTTTGGAATGCTCATTAAAGAGCATTGTGTGTCTATATCCCTACCCCGACCCCTCACCCAAATCAAACTAGGAGCCTGTAACCCACATGGATGTCTGTATCCCACATGGGTGTCTGTATTATAAGAAAACTATTCTGCATGAATTTTACTTGTTAAAGGGACTTTTTGTGTGTGGTTAAATGTAAATTGGTTGTGTGTAACGTTTCTCTGATGCTTGTCTCTCAACAGCTCTCACTTGGTGACTGTACCCCCTGGGCCCATGCTATCTGATGCTCTGCTGAGCTCCCCAGTGATTGTCGGAGAAGATGGCGCCGGCGCTAGCATGACAGGTGCTGGCTTTGAGTTTGGGGTGGATCCAAATGAAGATCCCGAGCTTGCATTGGTCAGTTGTATCACTTTAATTGTGCTTTAACATTGTTTGGCCAACTGCAGGTATACTTCTAATGCTTCCAAGAAGAGCTGCTAGGGTTAGGAGAGGTATTAAAAATTAAGAAATTAGAAAGTTGAAACAATTAATAAAATAATGGATTAATTGGTTTCACCATTGACAGAAAGATCAGGTACCAACTACCATGAGAACTACTTTAACCCTTCTCTCTAAGAAGCTTCACAACTAGCACATCTCTCTGTTAAAATCCCCTTGAATGCTGCTTAGACCGATCACCCGTAAAAATCTTTTAAAATGGCTTTTTTCAAATTTTGTTACACATTGTTATAATTCTCTGAAACTCTGCTCTCACAAACTAGAGAAAGAGAAGAATCAGCAGAAGAAGTCTTGGTCGGGTTTAAAAAAAAAAAAATCTAGGTTGTTGAAACCTATGACCACCAGGTAGGCAGGCTGCTAACTATCCCACGGCCCCCAAGTCACTAAAAAAGATGAATTTTTCTCATATTTAGAGTCATGAAGTTTTTTTTTTTTAAATATGAAAGATAATAATAACTAAATATAAATGGAGTAAAAAAGTTACTGCTTTTCTTCCCATCTACCAAAAAAAAAAAAACACGTTTTCATTTGCACAGAGAACAAACTGATGTCATGATAAGTTTATCGTGATATCACAGTCAGTCTTTCCCACCAAGTAATGTCTTTAAAAGGGAGAATTGTACCCTCATGTCTACACACCGTGTAGTTGCACCAAGTGCCATAGCTGTTATGTGGGGGTATTGGCCACTGCCCTGAAGACATCCTGTCATGAAAAACCCATGAAAGTCTTTAAACAAATCGGCTTTCCTGGGAAGATAGGGTTAACGGTAGCAAGCACAACTGTTTCCTAATGGCTGTCTGTCTAGACATAAATCCACCTCTGTCACTCACAGGTAAAAGAACTGATATCATCGCATCTTGTGAACAAGCAACATGATGAATACTTTCACAATTGTCAGCAACATGATGAATACTTTCAGAATTGTCAACAACATGATGAATATTTTCAGAAATGTCAACAACATGATGAATATTTTCAGAATTGTCAGCAACATGATGAATATTTTCAGAATTGTCAACAACATGATGATTATTTTCAGAATTGTCTCCAAAGAATCCTTGTATGGGTTACAGGCCCCCCCCCCCTCCCCCATTGTGGGTAAAATGAAAATACAGCATGACGTACAAGGCCACTAATTAGGAGGGGGTCCTAAAATTGCATGTATTGAGGTAAAAGGTACATATTTCACAGCCTATCTGTAAACCACAATGGGCCATCCTCCACTCTAAGCAGAAATGCAGAAAGTGAAGGCTGCAAAATAAAAGGGAGTAGAAATGAAACAGGCCATCATACCTTGTGTGGCGTAGCCTAGAATCTGTGACACTTCTACTTTTCACACCGTAATGGCTGTACCAACTGTGTGACTGCCTTTACATAATTCATACAGTAAGAACACTCATTGTTTTTTCACAGGCTTTGCGTGTATCAATGGAGGAGCAGAGGGCCCGACAGGAAAAGGAGATACGGGAAACTGCGGTTGCCACAACTGGAGAGGCGGCAGCAGTCACAGCAGGTATACAGTTTGGTTGGCCCGGCTCTCTAGCGTAGTTGGTTAAACCTGACATTGCAGTGACCGGGTGACGAACTCCTTGTGGTCCGGGCTCACTCCCGGGGGTAGGCAGAAAAGCCACATTTCTCCCAGATTCACGGTACCTATCATGAAATCAAGGCGGAAGGGTTGCAATATCCGTAGTACCAAGCCAAAGGGAAACAACTCATGGTTTCTGGATATAGTTTGTATTAGTTGCCCAGAGTCACCCGCGTTGCACAGTGATGCCTCTCCCGTCAGTCACATAGGAAAGTCTCAGCAGTAGTGTTCAAACTTCACACTGCAGAGCATGTAAATGTGGAGACATTAGAATCCTATCAACTACACTGGCTTTGTGCGGTGGAGAGAAGGAATTATTCCCTGGCCTTAATTGGTTTTAGGAAATGTGAGCAGGTCGTGCTAGTCATACTTATCATCATGGGCTGTGATTCTCCTGTGGTCCCTGTGGCGCAGTGAAACACTGTCACCTGGTAAGGTGCCAGCAATAAGTTAAACATTCAGCTGGATCTTTTGAGGATTGTTTGTCAGAAGTTAACTGTCTGTCTGTAGCCTGATGGCATGTGTTCATGTGCCTCCTTAGAATTTCATCGTAGATGTTTTGCTAGATGTTTGATGGTGATAATTGTTTGTGAGAACTTTCTATCTATAGCCTGATGGCGTATGTGTTCATGTGTCTCCGCAGATCTTGATTGTTGGTGTTTTAGATCAGGTGTTTTGATGAGTGAAGGAATCAAAACATCCCTCTCACTGGATTTTCCCACACATACTCATGTCTCCTTCCTCAGAAGCCAAAGAAGCAGCCTGGTTAAAATTAATCTTTGTTTCCCCTAAGTAAGGTAAAGGTAAAGTCGGGAGATGTGAACCAGCGTCACTGCACACGCTTATAAGCCATAAGTGCTCTGCCACCAGTACGGACAGCTGATAAGAATTGTTCATCTGTGTCGCCGTTCGCACGTAACTCTGTAGCTACAGCGACGTTCCTCCATTTACCCCAGAGTGTCAACTCTGGTACCCATTTCCTAGAGGCTGGGTGAACCCCGGGAGCTGCCCGGTTTCGAACACCGACCATGGCTGCAGCCAGTCGCAGCTGGATTTGAAAGCGGGTCTCTTATCGACTGCGCTAACGCAGTGTTGACTCTCTTCCAGGCTGCCCCTTCCCGGCCCCTGAATTTATCTTTCAGTGTATTATGTTATTTTGCACTGTCCACTTGATTCTAAAGAATCTTCACCACATCCGCTTTTTTATAAAGTAGCTCACCACCTAAAGGAAGGGCAGCTGCCATCCTATCAGCCTACTTATAAACCATCTCACTCTAGGTACTGGATGGAAAACCCATGATACGCTTCTCACCTGCCTGAGTCTTATGCAGTGATGCAAATCACTCTAATATAAACAGGCATCCTACGGTTTGTTTTGATGATAATCCTGCTAACAGCCATCTTAGACCATGTAGCAGTATCTCTCTTGATCTTTCTTTACTTCATCTACCATTGAATTTTCCCTTCATTGTGGTCTTCTCAAAAACTTTATTCACGTCACAATTGCACATCAGCTACAGCAGCATCCAGGTTCATACTTTTACTTAAGAATGGTGACAAGCTAGATGTTGTGAGGGCCCTTTAGGAGCGAGTGAACAGTGTGGAGGTACTAATTGATCATTACTGTCTGAGGAGAATGGCACTGGCCGACTCTCAACACTTAAGGGAAACGCAAGACGGATATACAGTCAGTTACTGGTGCTGTTGGAATCGGAACTCTTTGCTTGCTCCTGAAGATGGAGACGGGGCACTTTTGGGAGTGTCCCAAGTGCTAAGATGCTGATTCTTAATTCAGTAGTCAACTTAAGAATAGTGAGTGCAGCTCACCATAGTGGGCACTTGCTAATAATAGGGCCTTGTTTACACCAATGGCCCACTAGGGTTATGGTGCTAGACACATTTTCATAGAACAGCCACTGGATAATGCATCGTTTCGGACATCCTTCCTTCCAGGACATTGTCTGGTACCCACTGTAGGCTGGGTCGATCTAAAACCAGCCAGGGAACTTTTGCTTCCCAAATCCACTTGGTGTGGATTTGAACCCGAGACATTCAGGCCAACAAGTGGACAAGCTTTATAGAAATATAGTGTTTAGGATATCTTAACATGGCATTATTTCTAGAAGCAAATGTAGATTCTTACACTCAGTTGATTTTTCTTCAAGGGGATGAGAAGCATACATTCATCACCTCTAACACAAAAACTTCTATACACACATGCGCATGTCCATATGCACACTCACACACATTAGATCCCTTTGCTCATTAATATTTTTACTGGTGCACTCATTAGCATACTGTGCTCAAAACCTGTAGTATGCATTGGATCTGGTGTCTTCTGTCTTTCCTTCCATTTTTGTCCTCCTCCAGAATGCAGATTTGAGGTCTGTTTGCCACTCAGAGATTACAAAATCTCAGTCTGGATGGCAGACCAACGTTGCAAAAGCCAGATATTACAAAATCTCAGTCCTGATGGCAGACCAACGTTGCAAAAGCCAGATATTACAAAATCTCAGTCCTGATGGCAGACCAACGTTGCAAAAGCCAGATTTGACAAAATCTCAGTCCTGATGGCAGACCAACATTGCAAAAGCCAGATAACCTGTTCAGTCTCTATAGAAGCTAAATTTAGGGCACCCACTCCAGGAACAGTGTTAGTCATTTCGGCATGTTTGTATAAAATATAAACATTTGGATGAAATGTTGTCTTTTCATTGATTCCAGCCTCCGTGGAAGAGGAGCAGTTGCAACGAGCTCTGGGAGGTTCACTGGTCCCAGATGCAGCTGTATCAGTTCCACCAACTACGGGATCTTCTGCTGTGGATTTTGCTGCGATGACTGAAGAGGAACAGATTGCCTACGCCATGAAATTATCAATGGAGACAGGTAAGAGCTGCTGTTGTTATAGTTGCTTTTTGGCGGTTAGAGGTTTTTTGATAATAGTCTAATGTTGCCTTCTCAGCTGAAACACATTTATCTTCAATTCTCAGGTTTCAAACTGCATCCTCGCATTAAAAAAACTGTAAATATCAGTTCTCTCTCTTTACTGTATCTCTCCTTTGAATATCAGCTCTTTCACCTCCCTCCACTCCCCCCCCCCCTCTCTTTTCCTCTCTCTCTCTGTGTGCATGCGTTTGTTTGTTTAATAGCAGAATTCTCTTTATCATTTTTGCCGTGTGTGAGTTACAGGAAGAGACTTTCTATTATACTATCGCTAATTTTTTCTGTCTAATGCCAACACTATTTCTCCACCTCTTGATTTGTGGAAACTTATTTAGTTTGCCCCCCAGATACACTGTTATGGACCTAATTTGTCCTCAGGAGAGTCCCAGGACCACATGGGGGGGGGGGGGGGAAGGTGGAGATGAATAGACCCACTGCCCCCATCACAAGCATGTTGTTAAAGTCAACTAATAAAGCCTTGCAGAAATTAAGATGTGTTTGGCTGAAAATAACCACGTAAAAAGTTCCTTTAAGGGCAAATCAAAGAAGAAACTGAAATTAAAATGTTTCCATTCATTCTTCGAATGAACAAACTTTGTTTTTTCAAAGGGTTAAGAACTGGGCACACAGGCCTGTCTAACATTCTGTCCTTCTGACCGTACTAATTTCATACATTGTTTCATTCAGTCATCTTTCAGCAGGTAATGCTAAACATCTTCAACAACTAAATATTAGTTACAAAAATCTGGAATGTGCTCAAATGCAGGTTTAAGTACCCCACACTCCGCAATTAACGGCAAGTGGATTAATACAAGTGACATCATCCACATAGCGCAAGACAATGGTGATACTACATTCCACTGAATTGGAGAAATCAGACGTAGAAAATTGATATTTTGGGGACTTGTTATGAGAAGAAATGGGTGTGAGAACCTGGTGATTATTGCATGGTTCATGTGAAAAGAACGAGGAGAATGTAAATGAATACAAATACCTTGGTTTCTCAGCCAAGACGAGCAGTGACCTGGTCCATGATTCTGGTAATCGTCTGGGATAGTGAAATGTTGCCATCTACCCTTTACTGGCAGGGTATATGATGATAATGACTACATTCCAACACCCCATGTGGGTTCTGTGGTCCCATTTTTGGGGAGAGAAAGGGTAGACCCCCCCCCCCCAAGCATGTAGACTAATTAGGGATGTTTCAGAGTACATCTCACTGAGATGCAAGGAACCAACATTCTACAAATTAGCCAGATTTGTGAAAACTGATGTGCAAGATAAATTCAGGTTCTTTATCTTTTTCTATGTTTGTCCAAAGGTGTAATTGCATTGTGCTCGCTTACAGTGTGGCTGCGATATATGCGTCTTTCGGCCAACACATCTGGCTTCTGCAGTCATTTATTGACCGGGTTAGCCTTCCTGGTTAGTTTTGTGGGACAGTGCGGTCTCATTGTTGTGTGGGGATCTTTGTTTTTCATGTCACCCGTGGTGCCCCACATCAGGCCTGTCCAAAGCAGCCGCATAATACTGGTCAGCCCTCAAGAGAAGGCAGGGGCGGAACATGAGCATTTCCCACCATCCAAGGAAGCTTCCAATAATGCAAAGTCAGTACATGGTCCTCGGCTACTGGGTTCACCCAGAGAATCGTCACATCCTGCTCATGACTGTTTAACTTCATAACCTCACTTCCATATATTGAACATCTCATTCATCACAGGTTGTGTCTTTTTAAGCCAGCGGTAGGCAGCCTGCAGACCTGGCATTTCAATTACCTGCACAAATAAGTACTTTGCTTCTTTTGCAAGTTCAGGTTCTGGAACAAGACTAAAGCAAAGAAGTGGGCGACCATCCAGAACTTTCCTTCAGTTTACAGCCGGGGAACATGAAGAAGAAGACTGCGTTCCAACACCGATATTTGTAGGCAGAACAGACAAAAATCGGAATATATTATGGTGTAAAAAGTTTACTCCAAATCTGATGTTTGCTGTTTCTAGTTTTTCAAACGAATATCTTGATATTGCAGGCGGTGAAGATGATGCTCCAGCACCAATGGAAACTGATGATGGCGAGGCCTCTGCTAAAGTGGAACAGAAAAAGGTATCAATGATCGTTTATTTGATATCAGTTTTCTGACTCGTGGACGCTTTCATAGACAAAAAGAAAAGCTCAAAAACATTTACTAACAGCAGTTATGTGGTTTTTGAAAATGCAAAAACTATGGATTAATAGAAAAACAAACAAGGCAGCTTTCCTTAAGATATATGAAAACCATGGAAGCAATCCTGATAACAATTCAGGAACAATGTCAGCTTCTGAAAGACGGTATGAACAAAACCACAAGTTTATGTTTTTTTAACCCTTTCGCTGCTGCGCCCTCCGCCAGCCAACGTAACCACTGTGCTGAGCCAGGCGAGTGCTAATTTTTCCTCCTGTGCTGAATACCTTTTTCCCCTCCAAAAGCAGAAGACGCGCTTGCAGCGCAGGGTAAAAATTCTACCCTTAAAATAAAAAATCTTTAAAGGTGTATGGCTGACCTTTGCGCTGACAAGTCAGACGCGCTATGGCTATGCCATGAAAACTCATTAACAAAACGAAAACACTACAAACTTACAAAGCAAAGACAAAACACTATTGTAAGCAATAACATGGTTTTTATTATTATTAATATCTTTTTGTGTGAAATATTTCAAAACACGGTGCGACACACAATGCCAAATCACAGTTCCTGCACATGTTTCCTGTCGTTTTTTTGCTTTTTGCGCATACCACACACTTTCTCGTTAAGAATTTCTGCTGTGATGTTATGGACCATTATTGAACGGAAATGCCTTTGTACTAAACGAAGTGGCAGATCTTCAGTTTTTTGTCCTCCTACACCTTTTCTCTTTTCCTTGCAATATTTTTGTAGAATTTATCTTACTAACATTAAGTGAAATTCGGCAACAGGAGTGTTTTCCCCCACAAATGCACAGAACACCAACCTTGCTTCACAAGGAACAAGATTACATGTAACGCATCTAAATCCACCTGAACGCAAGTGACAGGATGTTTAATTAATTATTGCTTTGGTGATCTGTTGTCAAAAATCCTAAGAGCTCAAATTTAGAATAATTTAAAAAAAAATAAACGGCATGTAGGGGTTGAACGCAGGACTTTTCGATTGTAAGGCAGACGTGATACCAACTACACTAGAAATTTATATGAAAAAGGCACTGAAAATAGGACCAGTATTGTACACTTTGATAGACAGAAACATTTATGTCAGTTGTATAGTATATTAGAAACATTAACAATAATATTAATCATCATGTCAGTACATGACTATATCTTCATTTTGATTACTGGGGATCCATTTCAAATCCAGTCAATGTAGATAGCTAGGTCATATGGTCAGTCTAGCTCACGGCCAATTAGAAGCAGATTTAAATATGTGGAGGAGACAGTGAGTTGGCTTGAAATGGCAAAGGACAGAAATACTGCTGTCAGACTTTCAAGTACTTACATATGTAAGACTTCAGCATGAGACCAGCTCCCTTTGTCACTCCACTTCTGTCCCAGAAAGTGCTGAAAATTATCTAGTAGTCAGTTTTTCAAGACTAGCTTGACTCATCAGATGAGGCTATCCTTACACCTGGCGGAAAGGGGGGTGGGGGGGGGGGGATGTCATGAATCTGAGAATTTAATGCCGCTTGGCTGGTGCAGTTGCCACAAACTGCAGGTTCAGATTGTTGTTTTTCCCACTGACAGGGATTGAACCCGGCCCTCCCACTTGATTAGCATGCACTTAACTACTTGACCTAGACACAGAGCAAACTGTGACTAGAAAAATAATAAAGAACAAACATTCACAAACGCAACTAAATGTCCTGTATGGGTTCTGGGGCCCTGTTGGGGTGGGGGCAATAGCAGGCATGTCAAAAAAGGCGACTGATTAGGGATTTTCTCTTCTAAAGTCGGAGCACGTCTACCCGAGTGGTGAGGAACCAACAGTCTGCATAAAAGTAAGCCAGACCTTTAGAACGGATATGGACAAACAACCAGAACATTCCACCAGTATTTATAGCCAGTGAACACTAAGAAGAAGAAAAAGAAGACAATTCGACCAGTCTTCATACACCAAACAGATTTCCTTGTGAGCCTTTTTTTTTAAAGTTTTGTTTACTTCTTGATGTTAGCTTGCTGCAGTAACTGCTTTTTTTCCCCTCACCTATGTAGGCCTTTTCATTTCACAGCTAAAATATCAGCCAAACTTTGAGTTTTGCATACAGCTAAACCCATATCCTCTCCATATTTTTAACTTCATTCTCTAGCTCCCTCCTTGGTTATTTTTTGTGGAGGGGAGGTGGTCTGCCTGTATTATGTGCCCCTGTTGGTTCCAGCACAAAGACATCCTGGTTGTCTTGTCAGATTTGCTCACTGTGTGTCCTTTGTTACAGAGCCATTGTTCTTTAAACTCTTGTGGTACTTTTACACACACATAGGATTAGGTGCACATCCTCTATGAGTTCATAATTGTTGTGTATACAGACACTCTTAGACACCTATTCTTATATAAATCTAAAGTAATTTGTGTTATTTTTCCCTCTTGTCTAGGATGAGGAAGAGGACTATTCAGAAGTAATGGATGATCCTGACTTTCTGCAGAATGTTTTACAAAGTCTGCCTGGAGTAGATCCCAATAGTGACGTCATCCAGAACGCAATGAGAAGTATAGCCGATTCAAAAAAGGACAGTAAAAAGGATGAGAAAAAACCCAAATGAAACTGGCAGCTGTCCTGGGAACTTGTCTGGCTATGAATATTACTATCTTGTTCTCAAGCAGACTTCGTGTACACCTGCCTTTGTGTAAATGTCCTCTCGTTTATAATTAACTTTGTATGTTTACTGGTAGTCGGCATGCAGAAAACACATGTAGTGAACAAGAAGTCAATCATTCACTGACTTTACTCTCCTGTTGTCCATTTTGTTTTCATAGCTCACAGTTCTAAATTGTTCTTAACCATGGCGACCCCAAATGTATTAGTAATCTGCAAGTTATAACATGTTATCTAACAAAGAAAAAGTTGTAACCCTGTTTAAGTAATTCTTTCCATTCAATTACATTTAACTTGTTTTAGCAGTGTTACAAAAAAGTAAAAGGATACATGCCCCGTGGTGTAATAGGTATATGATGCTAGAACCATATTTTTGAAGACCAGTCGGCACTCAGTGAGTGATGCAGCCAACATATGCCAGCCACCTTTACTTCCCACTGGTGTTTGCTCTTTTAAAAATTATTGAATGTTAAAAATGTTCTTGCAGGTATTTTTGAAAAGCCAAATCATGCCTAATTACAGTTGGTATTGCCATTTTGTGTTTGGCTTCATGCTATATTTGAATATGCAGTGACATGTTTCCAAATACAGGTTTATACATGTTGCTTCAATTTGTATCTTGTTGATATTATTTGTGTTGCTGTTGTTGAATTTTTCAGTTGTGGCTTTTTCAGACTTTGATATGCGATGCTTTGTGGGCCCATGTTAAAAAATTACACAAGAAGGCCTCACAGCTTTTGAAAACATCTCGTGGGATATGTTTCATTTTTTAACAGCAAGGCATTTACGGTGGAAAATAGTTTATTTTAAAAAGTATTAATTTATTAATAACATAGTAGATCATTTAGTTGCCAATTTGGTTATTTATATGAAACTGAAATGGGAATGCCGGTTCATTGCGGGGAAACTATAGCTTGCCAAACAAATTCTGAAACTTTTTTTAAAGGCATGGTTGAATTATGAGTCCCTGAGCTTTAGCTAATTTATTGTAGGCAGTCCATAACCTTTAGTTAGTTTACCCTAGGCTTACATTTGGGTATTATGTTTGATTTCTCAGCACAAATTCAATACGTAACTTTTTATTTACATTTAAAAAAAATTACGTGTGATAATTTCCTGCACAAACATATATCTTACATTTATCTGTGTACAGGGTAACTGATGGTTGAAGAAAGTAAACTGCCACTATTTTTGAAGAAAAAGATGCTGTTATAATTTCTCTTTTAGCACTTTAATCCCTTGAGGTGCAATATCACCCCACCCCCCCCCCCCCCCCCAGTTCTTTCTGATTGTCCTCTTTTATTTCTATTTTCTGACTCCAAGTGTTTGTAGGTCTGACTGGATATTATCTCTCCACCATTGTCTTGGTCTGCCTTGTGGTCTGCTCCCATGTAACTTTAAAAAAAAAAAAAATCATATTTTGTCTGTATGTCTTTCCGCATGTGAGTTCTGGGGCCATACTGTCGGAGAAAAAAAACCAGTTGCCTCCCCTAACAAGCATGTTGTAATAGTCGACTAATTAGGAGTGTATCCTTCAATGCTAGAATGCATCTGCCTAAAAGGCAAGGAATCAACCGTCTGTTTACAAATAAGCCATATCTGTAAAACAGATATGCATGCAAAACTTCAAGATCTGGAACAAGTAAAGTTCGGAAGTGGAAGAACAACTAGAACTTTCTGCCAGAGTTTACAGCCGTTGAACGCGAAGAAGCCTTTGGTTATCTGCCATCCTCTCTATATGCCCCAACCATAGTATTCTGTTAGTCCTCATGATGCCAGTCGTTTGCGGTGCTTTTAAAGGATTAGGAATTTGTTTGTTGCTTAGCACTGCCTGACAGTTAAAGTGGTTTACAAGGATGACATGTGCCTCTCACTTGAGCAGATCTATTATGATTCTGTGTTGACAGCATTGGCTTTTGCAAACATAAGAAATAAATGATCCTGTCTTCTAATCTTGGGTTAGTTGTTTGATTAGCTTTCTTTGATAAACGCAAATATTTGGTTTATATGCACCAGTTGCGAGGTGGGATCAAATCACACGTGTAAGTGTTAGCAGGTAACGGCTACAGTGCAGAGGGTATCATGTAATGCTTTCTTCCTCGTTAATTGGCTTTTTAGAATATGTTTGCACAGCCAAGATTGTAAGCCTTAGTAACTGGTAGCTTCACATTTTGCAGTTTACTGAATCAGTGGCGTAAACATAGAGCGGTCGTTCTTGTCGCTTTGTTTAAGGGGTAAACCAAGATACGTATTTATAGTAATGATAAATGGTAAAATAATTTTGGGCTATCCTCTGAATAACGGTCCTAAATTATCTGCGCAGAAAATTAACCCTAACAGAGCCTCATTAGTTCATGCCCTACAACGATTTAAAATGTTGAAACTCGGGAAAAAAATAAGGAACGAAAAGTATGAGGAAATGGGGGAAGTCTACTACTTACGCAAGACCTACACAAGTCCTACACAATAAAGATAGCAGATATAGACAACAGCTATGAGGAGCTGAGATGCCAGAACGCGATTGAATTATTCATTTTTGTTCTTCAACAAGAGAGAGAGAGAGAGACTGATGATCCCTTCTCTGCTGCATCTCAGTTTCTACTTGTGGCATCATCCAGAACACAAAGAGACTGTAGTCATTTTTAATAAAAGAATGGGAAAAAACAAAAGTGAAACTGGCAAAAACTCGCAGTTATGTTAAATTAACAACTGGTATCATAGCACTTGGGATAACCCCATAAACACTGTCTCCCTGTCTTCAACAGCAAGGGAAGAGTTCCAGTTCTGATGGCACCAGTAACCGTCTGATTATATATCGGTCTCGCCTTTCCCTGGAGTGCTGAGCGTCGGCCAGATCCCCTGGTAACTCCTTGCAGCGCCATTCTCCTCAGATCATAATTTGGGCCTCCGCACTGTTCACTCGCTCCCAAAGGGCCCTCACAACATCTAGCTTGTCATACATCAATTCACTACCAAGTGGTGCAGAACCAGCCAGTCTATCTGCCTGCTCGAAGTGATGCTTGCCGCTCTGCACAGAGCATGCCTGTCTCCACCTTTCTCAACAAGCTCTGTGAGTCAGTTACAATCACACACAGTTATACTGAGAACTGTTCTTCCCTGTATGGGTCCAAGGCTCTCATTCTGGGGGGGGGGGGGGGCGTGAACAAATGGGCCCAATGCCCCCTAGAAAAACATTTTGTGAAAGGGGGTTAATTAAAACTTTTGCTGAATTAAAATGTATTGGGCTGAAAGGCAAAGATATCGCAGCTTGGCTGTAAACCACAACAAAACCTGCCAACACAAGACAGAACTTTTCTGACTATAATAAATATTTGTTGTCAAGCAAACCTCATTTAGATGCACGTTACACTTTAAACAGTCTCTCAGCAAAGATAAATCATATAGTGCGGCCAAGATAGATAGCTACACAGACTAAATTTCCAGTGATAAAAAAGCAACCCACAAAAGAATTTTTACGGTATATGTGATTCTCGTCGGCTCTGTGCGTCACCTTAGTCGGCTGTGTGGCTAAGTCGATGCGAACGCTTCGTAATGCCGGGTTCGATCCCAGCTGCGAGCCATGCGCCTTGCGTTGGTTTCGACAGTGGTATCAGGGGGCCAACCGTCCAGAGGGAGAAAGCAAACTACTAGACGTAAATTTGCCTAGAAAAACCACACAACAGCCAGGGGCTACTAGGGTTGGTTCTGCAACGTCCTGTAAAGGATACGCAGCTAACCTAATGTGATTCTCACTGCTGCTGCAGAGTTGGTATTTGATCTCTGGATGCAGACTGGTTCAATTATGGAGATAGTATACCATAAAATAGTAATTTATTATCATATTTTTTCCGGGAGTCCCCGTGGCGGAGCGGCTAGACGCTCGCCGGGGAAGGTCGTGGGTTTGCTTCCTAGAGGAGCTGGACTTTTTTCAAAAATGACCTTGGCTCCCCAGCCTTGAGTGGGTACCGGGGGCAGTCCCAGGAAGTAGAGGTGGCCGGTGTGATGCTGACTACTACATCACCCATCTTGTGTCGATTGGTCTATACAAAAATAGGTCTAGCCCTATATGCCCTATACGCTTAAAGGCATGGAGAAGGGTCCTGTACTTTTTTATTTTTATTTTATATTCTTTTCCTGTATGTCTTTTAAGACTGCATGTGGGAGTGGGAAAGAGGGGGAGGGGGGGGGGGTGGGTGTCACTGTCTCCCAACAAGCATGTTGTAAAAGGTAACTATGGTTAGCTGAAAGTGGATATGTTAAGTGGAGGTCAGAGGTGTTGCAGCCTTGCTGCAAACCGCAACTGCCTTTTTAAGGATGAATGGAAAACTGACACTATTCTCAATATAGTGTACAGTAAAAATATTTATTTTCTTGACAAACTAACCAGACAAACATTTCTACACTTCAAGACAGAATGACAAAGATGAGGATAAACAGGCGCAAAACTGCATCTAATTAATGAAAGTCAGCTTGTGTGGCAAACGTTAAAAGAACTTAATTTGAAATAACCAAAAATTAAAATTGAAAAGCTTTGCACGTTTTTCATTTTTTTTCCCTCCATCTTCTTTCCCCAGTGAAGTGCTGTGATTGGGGGTGGTGAGGGGGTGGGGGGGGGGGGGGGGTGTAAGAATCGTTTGTGCCCTTTTAAATGATTGTTTTAGTTGGCTTTCGTTTGTTTAGGTTTTTTCTGGATGCCATGCCCCATCTGTTACATGCTCCGTAATCATATTTTCTCAGTGTGACTTACAAAGAGAAAACAATGATATTGATAATCTGCTTGAATCATGACTAATTTACTGACATCATGAAGGCTAATAGACTTTGATGGTTGGGCAATATCGAGAGAATGGCAAATAAACAGAGTGAACGAAAACTGCACACATAAACGAGTCAGAACGAGAGTAGACAAAGAAGACGGTGGAGAGATAATGTATGTGCAGACTTACA